CGAGTTAGAGCTTATATTGTATAGCAAGGATATGCAACGGCCTAAAGATAAGGTGAGGATTTATGTTGCATAAGCAAGCAACCTCAAAGTCCCATGGCTTTGTTGTTTAAGTCTAAGGAAGGAAGATAAGTTTAGCTGGGGAAGACAGGTTTCGCTATTGAAGATGACTGTGTTGCCCACCGTGCTAGCTCCAAGCTCCTTACCGTGACGATAACCAAAGTCATCTAAGAAGAGTCTCGATAAAAATCAGAAAATATTATCTTCAAGGAGTTTTAAAGAGTAGGACCTTTCAATGAGATCAGACGTAGAGGTGTGAAAGGGGATTGGTTCAAATTTGGAACATTTTGTTGTGGAGTCCAAAGGAGGAAGAACTAGGGGATGTCATAGATCTAGAGGAGAACCTTGGTGACTTCCCAAGCTATCCCTATAGTTTGGCTTCTGTTTTGAGGAGAAATATTTAAGTGTTTCATCCTGCCAATTTTATAAATTTCTGGGTTACATTTATGTGAAACAATTACACAAATAGTCTGGAAGATGTGAGGATTTAAGTCGTGATGAAGGCTCAGAATCCTAAGACGAGTTAGGGCTTAGATTGTACAACTGAGCTGTATAAAAGCCTAAAGATGAGGTGAAGATTTATGTTGCATAAGCAAACTACCTCGAAGTCCTATGGCTTGGTTGTTTAATTCTATGGAAAAAAAATGGTTTAGCTGATGTAGACAGGTTTTGTTGTTGAAGATGGCCGTGCTGCCCACCATGCTAGCTCCAAGCTCCTCGTCGTGACAAGTGTATGTTTTCTAGTGTGTCAGGTTGTGATGTCAAATCAGATGGCCCTATGGTTAAAGTCCTTTAAATGTTGTGGGGCATGTTAAAATTGATTAAAGCGATGCCGGTTAGGATCCTACGGTTCCCTCGTTCCGGCACCACTATTTTCTATTGGATTCACTTAGTCCAAATGAACTTACTAAACTCAACTTAATGAGTTCCATAATTTTATTTAGACTGTGGGAAGCCTCGTTAGCAAACGTAGGTTACCTCCACTGAGAGATTCCCGATCATCCAATAGAGATGTCTTAAGTTAGTTGCAATTTGTAGTTTTGTGTGATGTTTGTGATTAAATTCTGAGTTGTTTTATATTTTGAATGTTGTGGTGATGAATTTTATCTTGGTCGATTTTAATTTTAGTTT